TAGTTACAACATAATTAATTTTATATCTGCGTAATTTTGCGATTTTTCGTAGTTTTAAGATTTTTATCGCTATTTGAAATCTGTGTCCTGATTGCCCGTTGTATTTTTAATTTTTATGCTCGTTTATGCAAACACTATAATTACAATTATAATACAGTTATGATGTTCGCTATGATGTTTGTGTTTTTTAAATATAATCGTCAGTTTGCTTCATCACTTTCATAATCCAACGCACGTAATTGGATAGTCTGGCGTATATACCAAATTTACCACGCTTGCCACAACCTTCGCCGAAACTAGTGATACCAAAAATTGTCCACGGATGTTCAGGTTTCCGAGGATCTCTGCAGAGCAGAGGTCCCCCACTGTCACCCGCACAAGAGTCCATTTTACCACGGCGATAACCCGCACAGAACATATTATCCGTTATTCTGTAATCCACGTAGACCTCTCGACAAGTCTCGGGAGACACTATTGGAACCTAAAATTGAATTTAACATTCATATTATTTTTCTAAAGTACACAACTGTGATTGTGGATTCATTATTACTTTATTAATCTGTAGAAGATGAGGTCTATTTTTAAAATCTTACAGCTTTTCCTTAAGATTTGTTATAATTCATTATTTTTCATTGTCATGTATTTTTTAAAATATAACATTATTTCTCTCTCAGCACTACTATAGTGACTTTTCCGAGCGTCATATAAAGATTAAATAAATCAAATTTTTTTAATTGAATTGCATACTTTAACTTCATGTAGCACATCCGTTCCGAAATCGTCCGTCACGCTGGACTTGCCCCAGCCGATAATGGTGCACAACTGATTCGTAGGTAAGGGCTGTTTTGATGCGGGTAAACACGCAATCCCTCTCGAAGGAGATGGGGTCAAGGTAACTGGTAAACGAAGTAGAGCCACATCGTTATCAACAGTATCGGCATCATACTCCGGGTGGATAGTCACTGAATCCACCTACGCAGTTATAGAATTAATCAGCAGCGGCATGAAATTGTCTATCTAGCTCTCAACTGTGACACATACCCTAAGCTCTAATTCCGTGGCTTCTTTCACCGTTAAATCGTGCTCTCCAATACGAACATAAAGGCGTTTTCTAATGCAATGTGCGGCAGTTAATACCCACTTTGGGGATACCAATGTTCCACCACAAAAAGCTTCCTAGAAAAAGAAAAGCAATTAAATTTGGTCCAGACAATTATAAAACCTTTCTTGCTCATCAATCATTTAGGTTCAATGATTTATATTATTTGCTAAGAAATGAGATTTATTTGTTGTAAATGTACCCGAAATCGATTTAACACGGCCACTTGCCATGGCCAGTTTCCAGGTGCAGTCGGACGGCCACCGATAATTCGTGTGAAGTATGATAATCTGGATCCTTTATGAGTCGCTATTCCACACTTCCAAACGTTTGAATTCTTCTCTGGAGCGAAGCTATCCACGGCATTAGGATTGAGTTCGAACTCGTCCAATACCAAGTCTAGAAAATCAATAAAACTAGCTACTCATTTTTCTTATTTGTATTCAATGTTGAATTGAAATAGATTTACCATCGCCGTCTTCTTCGTGGCTACCGCGAATTTTTCGATGGATCCATCTTTGGCAGAAGCTACCTTCAACGTAACAATAGGCGCTTTCTCGTATCACATCGCGCTCGCAAATTCCCGGCTTTCTGCACCATCTAATCACAACAAATAGATAATATATTAGGTGTAGTAAAAAGAATCCATTATTTTTCTATTCAATTTCATGCAAAAATAATGGATTTCTTTTTACTACACCTAATATAATATCAGTTTTGAACATGGTATAATATAATTCTAAACGAAATAAAATAGTCCAATTTTTTAAATGTGTATGGACAATGTTAAAGAATATCAAATAAGAAAAAAATCAAATCTTGATGAACTCTGAAAATTGGATTATTTTATTTCGTTCAGAATTGTTCGAAATTGTATTACCTTACTCTATGTAATCTTATATAAATTTCTGTAATACCTATGACGTTGAGTAGTGCACAGTCTCGTGCAAGGCGACCATTTACTCCATTTTCCATATTGTCTTTTGAAGTTCTCCTTACTGTTTTTGCCTTTTTGTTTTCCATGTCTAGGCTCTGCTTCTTTAGGTACCTGTTAAAAACGTGCATTAGCAAATATTAATCGAAAATCAAATATTAATGCATGCCGCGACTTACTTGAACGACGTGAAATCTTTCGTTTCTTCGTCGACGTCTCCGGCGCTGACGTTGTTTGCATCGCCTTTGACGACCCTTTCTGTTATGTTCGCAATCACGTTCCTCCTGAATCACAACAATCCATTACTGAAAAATTGTTCACAATAACATGTAATTATGTAATTCACATATTTACCTTAAGTACAATAGTCCCGCAATCTTTTTTTGATCGGCACTTCCTGACGCGATTTTGCATGCAGTGTCGATCGCACACCGACCATTCGCTCCAATTTGTGAAATGAGATAGCTTTGTCGCTCCTATTATCAAAATAACATGCGAGAATATAGATTAAGAATACGTAATAAAAGAAATATGTAAAGGTGAAAATATTGCAAGAAAATATTTCATTTTTTCGATCGTAGAAAATTATGGAAAATCAATGGCGCACATACACTTACTGTTTTTTGGCAAATGCTCTTCAGACAGCTGGTCGATCGAGTGAAGACAGCTTACGTTGTGTTTAACTCCAAAGACGAATGTTTTATTTTCATGCTAAAATTTTTAAACATATGTATCTACTTAATGATATAATAATGATATAATTTAGATTTTTTTATTAAATCAAAATTTCATGGATATAACTAGTATATGCCCAATGAATACAAAAATTTATAATTGAGCTCCAAATTGTATTTATTCAAAATTTTCACATTAAAAAAATGTAATCATATATTCATTCAAAATTTTGAGTTTTCAAAAAATATTTATTCACAAAAAAATTATGAATATTTAACGAGTATTCATATTCATTCAAACAAAATATAAACTGAAAAAAAAGCTCCAATAAGTAATTGTTATCTTTTAATTATAATCGGTACTTCTGACTTTAAGTAAGAAAAATGAATTTTATTTATTTTTATCATTGTAATATTCAAATTTTATAAAGGAAACTTAGAAATTTTGAAAAATATTTTAGAAAGATATACATTTTTTATTTATAAATCTTTCTATTTGATAGAGCACCATACATATTTCGATATAATTCCGGTTATATTATGACAGTAATGTTATAAATTATATTTTATAGGATATCTTGGGTGCAATTATAGTCTGTGGTTCATTATAGTCTGTGGACTATAAATTCCGAGATATATTATTTATTCTCAATAAAAATGTCTTTGTTTAATCTCTAGATTAAACAAGGATGTATCCATGATACCATCGTATAAGTCGCGGACTAAGCGCATGATGTAATCATAGTCATTGTTTTATAGATTTCGGTTTTCTTTTGTAGACTTGCAATATGCAGATAATACAAAGTAAAAGTGAATATGAAATGAAAATATTCATAATCATATTAAAAAAATATTCATTCAAATAGAATAAAAAATATTTATTCGTTTCTTAACGAATAAAAAAGAAATGTAATGAGTATTCGAATGAGTATTTTTATTCATTTTTTGTTCATTTTTTATTCATTCGAATGTTAGGTGTATTCATCACACACATTCTCTCTCTCTCTCTCTCTCTCTCTCTCTCTCTCTCTCCCTCTCTCTCTCTCTCTCTCTCTCTCTCTCTCTCTCTCTTTCTCTTTCTCTCTCTCTCTCTCTCTAGATATAATATTCAATATAATAATTCTTTTAATTATTTTTAATGTTACTGTTGTTTAATTAATATATTATATATTGCTAACTTAGTTTACTAAAATTCTAAGACTAGAGGAGATCGGGGACAATAGTAACAAGGTACAATAGTAATCGCTAATATTTCTGAAACTATTTTGTTTCCAGTCTGCTGTATTATTGAGCATTCTAACGAATGGCAAGTTGCAATCATTTTACGTTTTAACCTTGTTGAAAAGATTAATGTATTAGTGAAAATTTCACGTCATATTATCTCGTCATTTGACACGCCTCTATGTCGACAGTGGCTGCATACTGATACGATTACCTTAAAATTATCTGTCCTAGACCGAAAGACTTAATAGATATGGCCTGGCCAGCACTCTATTTAGTTCTATCATTTAGTATGCTCCAAGGTTGTAACGCCCAAGTCGCGACATTAAACTCAATTTGCCCGCTGGTAATGGCATCGCGACGTAACTGTCGTCGGCGCTAATCATGCGTTACACGATGTCACCATGTCGACAAAGTACGTAGGCATATAAAATTACTGTCATTTCGCTGTCGCGCCTTCTCGAAGCTCCTCGAAATCTATACTCGCTCTGAAATTCCGAACAATAGTTACTGATTGCAATCGCGATGATTCATTTATAGTTCATGAATTCAGATGCAAATTCAAAATGGTGCTTGAAACATCCTTTCATCAGCAACATTATTGTGCGTTGTTCAAAATAAAAATGATACAAAATTCTATTACCTAATAGAGACTGGTCGTCTCGAAATCTAATATCGAGTTTGTAATAGCAGAAAAGGAAATATATATAGGTATTTTAATAAAAGGTATTATTATATATATATAT